TTAGCATACCAACACACTTTTTACTTTCAGCACTTTGCATTTAGCCTTTCAACAAACTCTTTTTAAATTCACCAGTTTTAGCACTGAGTTAAAGTGTGTAAAGTCAAAAGATGTATGAATTACTTAAAAACATCGAGTAGTCAAAACCACAGCTCTGGGACTTCCAGTAGTTTCAGAATTCAGAGAGTCTTGGTGTTAGAAACAGAACTAGAGCTGATGTCGGTTTTCAGTATGAAATGTGCTATATTAATAAAAGTTTAATACTGTTATTCCTTCTAAGACAATATCAAACTATAACAATAACAAGAACACCAACAAGCACTCTCACAAAATCACACAATGACGCAAAGAGCTCGACTTTACTTTTCAAGTGGATGGAAGCAAAACTAGCGGGTTAGCAGTGTCTATCTTTACAGTCTATAATTATATACCAGGAAGAGAAGGGACGTCTTTATGACCTTTTTCCCTGAATCTCCACTCAGATCTCGGAGTGCTCTTTAAAGTCTTTCAGTGACGCTTTGGCATACAGTAAACATTGCTGACTTTGTCTCTGATGTTAAAATTATGTGGGGAGAAATGTCTATACTTATACACTACAATAACTTTACAGTAAGATTAATACATTAAAACACCTTTTTTTCACTTCACAAGCCAATCCATTTGTGATATCTTAAAGGTCAGGTATAAGGGACTGACTTGCTTGCATCATACTTATAATGTGGTCCACTTGGGCTAGTGGCGTCCTGGATCTATACCCCGTTCGTCAATGTGGACCTCCCCAAGCTTCCTCCCTTTCCCACTAGGATTAGAGTTTTTCCTTGCCGTAGCATTTATGGACATTTATCAAGACTTATGGACATTGGTCATCTGCCCCTTATGGACCAATACCTACCTGTTTTCTGTTTTGTATGTTGTGTTTGAACTGTTTTATTCTCTGTTCCGTGTTGGCGAATTCAACGGCTGTGTAAGTTAGTAAGTAAGTAAGTAATGTTTATTTATAGAGGATTTATACTTTACAGACCGAGGTAACCCAAAGCGCTTTACAATGTTCAGAGTTCAGATATGGTTCCAATCATTCCACACACGGTGATGACGGAAGCGAGTCACCGAACACACTGGCGCATCAAAGCGTGTTTTTTAGTGGTAGGGGAAACCGGAGCACCAGGAGGAAACCTACGCAGGCACAGGGAGAACATGCAAACTCCACACAGAAATACCCTGTTCCGACTGGGATTCGTACCGTGTAAAGTCCTTCCGAGATAACTACTGTTGTGATATAGGGCTAAACAAGAATACATTGAATTGACTTTTATTTCTCTTTCCTTACTCTTGAAACACAGAAATATGCTCCCAGGACTGTAATTAGGGAAGGGGGGGGGGCTTCCTTTCTCTTGTACACCTGGTACACTGTTCCGGAAGAAGTCGCAGATGCCGCTGTTATCCTGCCCCTGTTGATTGGGAAAAACCGTGCCAACTTGCGGCATGAAAAGAGAAATACAGCTTTTTGGCACGGTCTTACAGCGTGTTGAATCATCCCATCGGAGTCTCGCACCATTAACTTTACCAATTAAACACAACCAAGTGCTCAGACACCAAATGGCCCAGTCGATCCGCGGCAGCTGAAACTGTAAGAATAGACCCTTTGCCTTTGTTAAGATGAAGACAGCTTGTGGGATCCTATCAAAATCACTTCTACACGTCCACAAACCTCAACTCAGACACGGCAGGTGGAAATAAATGCAACTCTACACTTTCAAGCCATATCTGCGCTGACCTGCAGAGACACAAAAAGACAATTATAAGAGAGAGAGATGACAAGTTGTCAGTGTGAAGGCTCGCTGTGAATTCCATTTGTCCCCTGAGCCTTTATTCAGCATGAGTCACACCTGATTGAACCTCTGCAGAGGAACAAGACGCATGCTTTAAGGTAAACTGTGCTGTGATGCTTCTGGATGCACACATGAGTCATATGGAAGAATGTCATTATTTTCCACAATATTTATGCCTATAACTGTGCTGAGTGATGGGCAAAATGGGAATAAAGAAAAGGAACAAGACGGTAAACAAGAAGAGGGTATTTACAGTAAGTGATTGTAAACTGAATGTGTGAGATTTATGCATGCAATACAATACAATACAATTTATTCTTGTAAAGCCCTAAATCAGAACAAAAGTCATCTCAGAGGACTTAAAAAAAACCATTGAAATCATCAACACAGATCAGAGAATCAACAGTTAAAACACATAAAGAATACAGAACACATGTTGTAGAATGCAGTCGTCTTGCAGATTTCAAATAAGTCCGAAAATCAGAATCATAACTTTTTTAATTGTCATTAGGAAATTGCTTTTGCTCTTGGTGCAAACCAGTTAAAGTTAAAAGCGAATATAAAGAAAGGCATGAATAAAAACAAAAAAACACATCTACATGAAATGTCTTAAAATGACACACAGATATTTTAAATGCGGAAAAGAAGAAACAACTACTGTAACTTCCCTTAGATAAGTTATGGCCATGATATTGCTGTACAATTCAAGCCAGATCCTGTCAGACCTCTGAAACTAGACAGGGCAGAGCCTGGGTTGTACTATGATGGGGGACCCCTGGGAACACCAGGTGCCACAGTGGGGCAGCTGCAGCCCGATGAGCCAATGGCACACTCTGGTTGCCTCGCTTCTGTCAGTGTGCCCCAGGGCATCAGTGGCCACAGTCGTAGTTCATGGGTGACAGAATAATGACATGTGAAGTGTCTTTCAGTCTCCAAAAAAGCGCTATATAAAAGTGTTTTGTTTTTTTCATAGTGGGCAGATGGAGGTTAAACAAGCGTAAATGCAATGTCTGAGTGAGCACAGGGCCATAGTGAAGCAGGAGCACGCTGGACGATTACACAATGTCATACACAGGGCGATTTTTCGAGAAACAAAATAATATTGCAGCACTAACTATTCTGCAATTGGGCCGGAGTTCTCAGCCTTTTTTTACACAAAAGGCACCAGTTATGTTTAAGTTGTCCTGACCAAGACCAGCTTCAACGTCACTGAGATGAGTGACAGGCATGACCGTGGAAGAGGCGTTGAAAAGATAGATTCAATTCATTGTTATGTTTTAGATTCTCTCCCAGTTATCCTTGATTAACAAAAAGGAAAACGGACGTTAGTTCAACATTTTCAACAGGAAAAAGCCAAACATAAAGTTGTGAGACAGGGACAAAACATAATGACAATGAAAGTCTAGCTATTGTTATGCTATTTTGGTTGTTTACATTGTTGGCAATTGCAGCATTTTTAAGATTAAAGAAGACTTGTTGTCTCAGCCTCCAGTGTATTAAGGATTGTAAAAGTGTGCGCATGTGTGTGTGTGTGTGTGCCTATGTGTGCGTATGTGTGTGTACGTGTGCGTGTAAGATAAAACAAGGCTTGTATCAGGCACCAGTGTATTAATTATCAGATTTATGTCAGATTATTATTATAGTGGGACATTTTTCTATAATTTTTTTTTTTTTTTTTACAGCATTTTGTTATTTGAATCGTATCTAAAAGTGTTTATACAGTAGAAACGGAATGCTGCTCGTCATGTAAGAGCAGCTGCTGTGTGTGTGTGTTATTACTGAAGTGACACTGACACTGTCCAGCCTGCCGACCACACCAATGTGGATTTTTCAGATTAAGGACGATTCCAATCTGCCCTTATCTGCAGGAGCAAACAGATGACGATGCAGAGGAAGCCACAAACCACTCCAATGTGAGACGCAGCCATTGGATCACGCACCACAACACACACACACACACAACATCATCATAAAATGTGTCTAAAGTGGTAACAAGGAAGTAAGCAATGTGCTTCCACTGAATTTAACACACATTTGAAAACCATTACGGGCCAAGATTGCACCTGTTTTATTTTATTTATTATTTTTGTTTCAACTAAAAACAGTCAAGGTTAATGTTCTGACATTTTTAATAATATAAAAAACTGTCATGAGTGCTTTTGTGTATAATATTGATCTGTTAACCCTTTAATGGGCTCCTCAACCATTCGGTGGATCAAACGTTGAGTCACTATCGACTTGAAGCTTGGACGTGAAACCGACCTCTTTTGGGGCATCTCTGTCACAAGCAACAGTGTTTGTCATAGTTTCACCAAGTGTTGTATAATTAGGATTTATATATGTATTTATAATTATATTTTTACGAATGCATTTCTGTTTCTATAGATACCACATTCTAGAATTCAAACAAATTCTACAATTCTACAAAGTGTTACTAGGTTACCATGGTTCCTATGGAAATGGAATTCTATTACATCATCTTAGAATTCGTCCATTTTACATGTGCTAGGGTTTGTCTCAAGTCCAATAACAGAAAACGGAGTCCTTTTTGCAAAGGTATTATTGCAGAGATCAACTCAGCGACTTACAAATCCAAGTAACATGGAAAAGCCCATTGAAGTCCACAAGACTGACCTGGAGATTCTGCATGAACTGGCAGAACTCCATGGGAAACTTGTACTTTTTAATGAAATGGGAGAGGAGGGTCCAGCACATAAGCCCACGTTCCAGATAGAAGTGCGAGTGGGAGACTTGGTCGGCTTCGGTTCCGGCCCCACCAAGAAAAAGGCGCGGTTACACGCAGCTAAAGAGGTCGTGAAGGCGTTGTCCAAGCTCCCACCGCCTCAGGGAAAAACTCCATATTGGTGCAAACCCCACGCGGACCTTATGGACCCTGAAGAGCGCAAGTACTTCTTCCACAATAAAAACCCAATCACGGCGCTCACAGAAGTTCTCATGATCAGGAAACAACCCGCGGCGAGTTTTAAGGTTGTCAACCTTGAACATACCCACGACGCAGATTATACGGTTGTGTATTGTATGGAGGTGACAGCTGGGAACTTGTCTTGTCAAGCTTTCGCCCCCAACAAGAAAGAGGCCAAGGTCATGGCGGCAGAGAGAATGTTGGAGATGATGGGATTCAAAGATCAGCTCCAGATGCAGAATCCACCGATGCAGCCGTATGAGAGCCAGATTTTCCAACAGAAAGTCTATGAAGAGCAAGCAAAACAGCTGCGACAGCACCAAAAGGCTGTAAAGGCTCTGCAACGTCTCACAGCTACAGAAGACACGGTAGAGGAACTCAGACCAGAAGAGAAGTCAGAGCCACTTATACCAGAAGAGACGGTGGAAGAACTCATACCAGAAGAGACGGTAGAGGAACTTATACCAGAAGAGAAAGTAGAAGAACTCATACCAGAAGAGACGGTAGAGCAACTCACACCAGAAGAGATGGTAGAGGCACCCATACCAGAAGGGACGGCAGAGGAACTCAGACCAGAAGAGACGGTCGAGGCACCCATACCAGAAGAGACGGCAGAGGAACTCAGACCAGAAGAGACGGTAGAAGAACTCAGACCAGAAGGGACGGCAGAGGAACTCAGACCAGAAGAGACGGTAGAAGAACTCAGACCAGAAGAGACTGTAGAGGCACTCACACCAGAAGAGATGGTAGAGGCACCCATACCAGAAGAGACGACAGAGGAACTCAGACCAGAAGAGACGGTAGAAGAACTCAGACCAGAAGAGACGGTAGAGGAACTACTCATACCAGAAGACAGCCAACTGGAAGTCTTACCGGCAGAGATCCAAGAGGCAGCCGTAACGAAGCAAGCCTCCGCTGAAGAGACTGTGGATATTTCTCTGGAGGAAGAAACACAGTCCATCGCAAAAGGCACCAGATCTGCTCATCTCGTGGCTGCAGCGATGATAAAGAAGTTAATTCAAAAAAGCCCACATGGTCCTTGACACTGAGCAGCAGATCCGTCTTGTCCAAATGCTTAGAAAAGTGGAGACTGGGGTTCGGATCCCAGAGGACAGTCAGCTCACAGACAAAGACCTCAAAGCCATCGGGAAAGCGGCCGCCAAAAGCTTACTGCAGGAGTGTGGCTCGGTGTCTGCTCTAAGCGACAATAGTTTCACTGAGGAAACTATGAAACTGAACCTGAACCTCCAACTCAGGTATTATTTGGCCCATGGTCCTCAGACTAGGCCAACGTGCTTCTTTGCAAGGGTTTGGAAGGTCTTCAGAAGAAACCGGATCAGCTCAGGACCTCTGAGCACCTATTTGTCATCTCCCATCTACTAAACACAACCAGTAGAACTTAGATATGACATTATCTAAGACTGGTTGGTAGGTGTGGTTTTTTTCTTTTTTTTTTTTTTCTTTGGATGGAGTTTGGATGTTATTTTCAAGTAAGTTTAGATTCAACCAAGTATTTATAACTTCGAATTACATTTAAGTTAACATCTCAGAACCGATACAATAATATGGCTTTGGACAATAGGCTTTAAAATGAATAGCCCCTTACCATCAGTGCAGCAATACTGGGCCTGAGTTTGACCTGCCTGATCTAAGTCTCTGAACTGCATTCAAAAAGGATTTAAACAGGTCTTCACTCGGACGAGATATGTGGTGCAGTGGTCTTACACTGAACTGAATATCTGTCCATCCACAATGTTTGAATTCCGCTTATTTTCCTTCACCGCAAAGAATATAACAGATTTTTTGATATGAAGAATAAACATAAAAATTAAAACCTTCCCTAAATGCCACTCAGACCAGAAGAGACGGTTGAGGAACTACTCATACCAGAAGACAGCCAACTGGAAGTCTTACTGTCAGAGATCCAAGAGGCAGCCGTAACGAAGCAGGCCTCATGATGATAAAGAAGTTAATTCAAAAAGCCCACATGGTCCCTGACACTGAGCAAACCCTCCTAAATGCATGGAGTTTATTTTACTGACGCCACATGAACACAATATTTGTCCATCCAGAATATTTCAATTTGGCATAATTTCCTTCACCGCAAAGAATAACAGATTTTTTTATGTGGAGAATATTTTTAAATAAATAAATAAAATTAAAACCCTCCTAAATGCTTTGAGATTATTTTATGGGCATCACATGAACACATGTGTGTAAAACAGAGGTGCCCAAACGTGAGCGACCTCAGAGTTCTGTGGGTGTTAAAATTCAGCACATTTTATTATTCATGATGCATTGGGGATTCATGATCAAGTAAGGACCATGTTGTCTTGTTCACATTTGACAGGCTTTACATTTACTCATAAAAGTACACAGATAACGGTCTTGAGTTTCCCATGTGGTAAACATCACTAAAAACGTTTCCGTGCTCATGTTATTGGTCAGAAACGCTCCTGGGTCATTTTCCACCATATACATTGACCATGCACGTGACTTGTTATGTGAAATACCTACCCTGCCTTTAAATAAAATATACTATTAGTCTAAAGTTACAGATTTTATTTTAGTGTTAAGTTTTGTGGTACATGTCATGACTTATATACTTCACTTTTACTTATACTTCGGTGAGGCATTATTTAGCACTAAAATTCTTAATATGTATAAACATTTTCTAGTGACATGTGACCTAAGATCCAATGTGGCATCAGGATGGGTCTAGTGCAGAGGAAAAATTTCCCTACGGGGACAAAAAAGTGCACATTTACGGTTGACATTTATCAGTTTTCTTGCATCTTCGAAGAAAAACTATACATAGCTTTCTTCAAAGAGTGAAAATTAAAGAGTTAAGAAAGACTATATCACTGACTGGCTGCATGACAATTCAGCCAATTCAATTCATTCATTAATTTATATATAGCTAATAAGAGTCTTTTTTGTATTTTATATGGGGGCAACTAGTAAATATGATATGAACTGGTCGCTGGCCCAGAAATACAGAGGTATTCAGCCTGTGTCTTGGATTTTCAGCCTGTCAATCCATCCCTCAATGGGGGCGTCCACTGGGAAACTGGGATTCTTACTTTTGTTCTCACTGTTTTGTTCCTTGCAGGTGTGAGAAGATCTAAGGACAGTGATAATCCGTGACAGGAATGGACATTTATCAACATTCATGGACACTGGACATCCCGCTCCCTATGGACCAATGCCTCCTATGTGTTCGTTTTTAGTGCATTTCTTGCGTTCGAACTGCCGCTGTATACACTCTACAAAATGATACACAAATACTCTAATTTGTGTGTCTTAATTGTGGTATATAGAACATATAGTAGATAAGAGCAGAGCTATGTAGGGAACTGTCCATGGTGCTGAAATACTGCGTACAAATTGTCAACAATTTGACAACACATTGTCACTGTTGAATGTTTCAGATATACACGTTTATCGAAATCTCAAATATTATGAGATTTTAGCATCTTTTTCTAATATTGTAACATGATCATTCAAGACACTGCGGCATAGTATTAATTTATTTCACTAGGATAGTCCTGCTAATAGTTTCCGAATCTCATGGGCCCATGTTCACATTCCAAGGCCATTTTTACGACTTTGTTCTTTAACATACTTTTAACACTTGGCATCATTCTCCATAATAAGATAGATATAAAGTGCTAGATATACAGTGCTTTAGCCCATAGACTGTAAGTGTAGCTGATGGGTGGAGCAGGACTGGCTACAGGACTGGCCACAGACAGTTGCCTCGCTTCTGTCAGTGTGCCCCAATGCAGCTGTGGCTACAAGAGTAGTTTTAGTAGTTTAAGAATACTGACATGAGTAATGCTAACTTTTTGAAAAATGCTAATCAATCAACTTTTATTCGTAGAGCGCATTTCCTACTCAAGGCAACACAAAGCGCCTCACAACCCATATCACACCAGGCATAAATCGTAGAGATTAAAATCCAAAATCCACATAAACATGAATTATAACTACAATTACAATCCCAAAGGGCGTTAAAACACACAATGAGATCACACAGAAATTTAAAAACATAAAAAAATAAAATCACAAAAACATTAAAACATTAAGATCATACATGGGATTAAAATCATAAATAGTTATGTGCACCTAAAAATAAAATAATTCATTTGTATGCACAGCTAGACAGAACCGTTTTTAACCTAGACTTAAAAACTGCAGCAGAAGTTTCCCGTCTCACATTCTCAGGAAGACTGTTCCAAATCCATTCAGCATTTTACTTTGGACTAGAGCAGAGAAAATGGTCCGAACCAAGCGCCTACTCGACCTTGTGACCCGTCCTGCTCCACCCAGAGGCCACTCCACCTCTGCTGCTGTGACCTGAAGGGCTGTTGCTGATTATTACTATTGTTAGCTTTTTTTAATGATCAATTTTATTTATTATTTTTGCTGCTACTGGACACCTGCATTTCTCTGACGGGGATCAATAAAGTATCTATCTATCCATCTATGTGAACTGTCTTTGAATGTCCTGAAAAGCGCTTTATAAAGCCAATGCATTATTATTATTATCACCATGTACATTATTACATTTTCTTCTTTCTTTTTTTATTTAGTACTGACACAAATTCTAGTTGTTGTTGTTTTCCAATGTCCCACTTACCAAAGTACATTTATCATCCAAATCTTTTTTCACCAAATCAATATGTGCCTTAATTCTGTTTTCTCGCCGTAGCGTTTACTTGCTCTGAAGGTCACGGTCCCGGATTTTCATTTGTATCATTGTATAATAAGGTCATCCGAACCGGAGCTCTCAGCATGTGTGGGAGTGAGGCCTCATTCTTTCCCGGAGTAGATAACAGACAGAGAGACGGCAACGTGGTGCTGATCAGCAGGCACAACACAACGAGATGATTCGATTCAACTCTCCCCGGACTGTAGGACAAAAATGACCATGAACGGCGGCCAATGTCACAGCACTGTACTCGCCGTGTCCCGGGAAATTGTTCAAAGAGACGCAGAAGCAAAAGGATCATGCAAGGAGCAGCCGTGGAATGTGCACAAGGCTCGGACACAAAACATTTCGTTTACTGTATTTAATGAATACTGGAGGTTGTTTGCACGGAAAGTTATTAAATGATGTGGTTTAAATTCATGTTTGTGTTCTCTCAGCGGTCTGCAATGATTTCCTCAATTCAATTTTGTTTAGTTTGCTTTGTGTAGCTTTAAATCTAAACAGCGGTTTCCTTGAAGGGCTTTACAAAGTTGTCTTTTTGCCAACAGCAGCTAGCATTGGACGTTCACTAGCATTTATTGGCGTTGGTCATTCGCCTCTTTTGGACCAATGACTTTCTATAATTGCATTTCTTGTGTCTGAACTCTCTGTGTTAGCAAATTGACAACTTTGTAAAGTCCTTGAGGATAACTACTGTGGTGTTTTAGGGCTTTACAAAAAGAAGTTGAACTGATTTGAATTTGCAGTCTTTCTTCCCAGCTCCTCATGACTGTTTCAGTGTTTCTTCTCGGTGCTCTGGTTTCCACTTTAGTCCTGGGTCTATACCTCAGTGCTGGGTCTACAGCCATCAGCCCTGGGTCTAAAGACCTCAGTCCTAGGGTCTACAACCTCAGCCTGGGTCCTATAGCCTCAGTCCTGGGTCCAGAAGCTTCAGTCCTTCCACAGCCCTCAATCCTGGTCTAAGCACTTCAGTCCGGTCTAGCATCCTCAGCCCTGGTCTACAGCCTCTTCCTGGGTCCAGAGACTTGGGTTATGGTTAGGGTCCACCCAGGGCCCTCCCCACACCTAACCCTAACCCCCATGGATACCAGGCTCGCCCCCACGCCGTGCACATAGCCCCCCTGGAGGTCCCAGGCTTATCTCCAACACCTAACCTTAACCCTCCATGAGACCAGGCCGCCCCCACGCCTGCACATACCCCCCTGGAGTCCATGGCTTCTCCACACCAAACCTAACCCCCATGGAGACCAGGCGCCGCCCCCCCTGGAGAACCAGGGGCTTCCCCCACACCCTTGTTCACTGCTTTAATGTTGAAACCCGTTTGATTTTGTTCCCCAAACATGTTTTGACACGACACTTATCTAGTATTGATTCCATAGTAATAATATTAATTCAAAAATAAGCTAGAATCAAAAATGTACATAATGAATACATATTTACCTGGGGTGATATCCCGCATAATCGCCTGGCTAATTTGCTCTGAAAGGACAAGCTGACCGTTTCTGAGCTGCTGGGAATGCAGACTCCCTCTTAGGTGGTGCAAAAAAATTTATCAGGGGAAAGAGAGGGAAGAGATCCACATTTAAAGGCGGGGGCCCCCCCGTTTTTGAAAAAAAAAAAAAATGCCGATCCGGTATAAAATCCTCCGGTGAAAGTTACTACGACTAAATGCTGAATTTTATTCAGTAAAAATTCATCAGAAACAGCTGGCCAATATGGGAGAAATTAAAGCTGGGGTACCTACATTTTTCCCTTTCATTAACAGCTTTTGTTGTTGGTGACCCAAAAGTAGAAGGTGTGAGCATCTAACAGATTTAAGTACATTTGGTAGAATAACGAATTGTCCAATACATTTGATAATCTCATTTAACTCAATGGAGTGGATTTTGAAATAGAATGTAAAAATTTGATTAATCGTGCGTTAACTCACCATTAATAAGTGATTAATCAACTCAATTTTTTTATTGTTTGACAGCCTAGTCATTTTTAATTTGCTTCTTCTGGGGCAACGAATGGTGTCCCACTACTCTACAGTTTTAACAATTTGGTTAAACGTATTTTATTAGACAAGAGTGATCTATGATGCACAGGTGTAGACCTTCGTGAAGCCCTTGTTTTTTCAGTGATTTATACATCTACCTAAGCACATTCGTTATCATATTATTAAAACAAATAATTCGAGTCGAAATTTGAAGCAGTAGTCCCAGTAAAATAAAATAAATATAATTTATGGTTAATTAAAAG